GTACCAGCTATTAAGGAGCATATGGAGATTTTCTGTGACAGCAATAGTGCGGTTGTCTTAGCCAAGGAGCCAAGAGATCATGGCAGATCCCGACACATTGACAGAAAATATCACTTCATAAGACACAAGATAGAAGAAGGACTCCTCATGGCAAAGAGGGTATCGTCAGATGAGAACCCTGCGGATCCCCTTACGAAGGGACTGACGAGGGTTAGTCATTTGCAGCATGCGAGGCGCATCGGGCTGAGGGACAATATTAGTTTCACAGATTAGATAGTTATTACTGAAACTTGTAAAATGTAATCGACGTTTGATGATGAATAAAAGTTGTGATTTATTTATGAGTAAGGTGTTGCTATCATTGTCAATTATTTACTATTTGTTTCAGTTTTGCATGTTTTGACTTCCAGAATAATAAATTTATTCAAATTCTCCACAGTCGGTCATATGTCGGAATTAGGTATGAATCAAGACTGTCATGAATTGGGATTGTAGATGACTAAAGGTGTTTAGCCATAGCAATGGTTGCTGCAACATTCATGAGTGCTCATAAGTTATGAGTATTGGAATAAACCCACGCTCACTTGTATCACTTCATGGAATTTATCTCGAGTGATCGTGAGACGGTAATATCATATAAGTCTTCAAACCTAGATATATGAGTTGTTACCTATGAGTTGGTTGTGCATTGATTGCACGAAAACGCATCAGTAACTTGATGTTATAAAACGTGCCTTTGTGTACAATTCAACAAGTAGTAGAACAAGCATATGAGTCGAAGTTTATCTGTTCCTTCTTGAAATTAGAAGCGACATCTGGGCCCCTCGATGATTTTGTTTTGACCTATGTACCGGGCCCGGTCAGAACTAAATTGATGTGTTCGATTAAGTTCTTTGTCAAACAAATCGGAAATCGGGAAACAAACTGCTGGACAATAAGTAAGACATTGTTCCATGTATTTGTCCGGCTGATATCATGAGAGCAGAGGATTATATGATCACTTATCTAAAATGGTGCTTCATAGTTCAACAGAGTTTTCGAGAGCTACGATTGTCGGTTGGTTCCTGAAGCTATATAGGCAAATACAGTTATCAGACTTATCCAAGTGGGAGACTGTTGGATAAGGTGTCTAAGTCCATAACTTATTTGGTATATACTTGACCCGAACCGGCATGGTCCATTTGGGTTGCACTTCACCCGAACTATTTATATGGATAATATTATGAGAAGAGTATATTTGTGACTTATTAATATATTATAAGTTATAATATATTAATATGAAATCATATTATTTATTTAGTATTGATCTTAAATTAATTATGAATTAATTTAGTGATCAAAAGGTGACTAATTAAATAATGAGCTATTATATTTATATGGTGTGGGCTAACACTCATTAGGAAATGGGCTAAGCTTAAATGGGAGTCCATGGATGATCCATGGAGCTTTTAACCCATGGATCCTTGGAATAGGAAAAGACATGGGTTATTAGGGTTTGCATGGTTCATAACCCTAATCATCTACACTATATAAAGAGGCTTTTGGTGCTTGAAAAGACACTATGTGTGTGTGCATAAGGGTGGCCGATTTCTAGAGTGGTTGTGTACCCTCTCATAAGTTTTCCAAGTTTGTGGTGATTTGTGATTTCCATTTGAGGCATTCACATTATTGGTGCCGGGCTCTCAAACTCCTAAGGAATCAACTCACTAACAAAGGTATGTAAATCTTCTAGTATCTTTTATGTTTAAAAGTACCCCATGCATGCTAGATAGGTTATGGACCTTGGAAAATTATTTTGCATGTATTTTAGACAAACATAGATCCAAGGTTTCTAGGGTTGCATGAACACCTTAGGAGTGTTAGTTTGCTCAAAACCCAACACCTACAAGCCTAGTGAATGCTACGGCTACCCCACAGTCTTGCAACACTTCCTAAGAATACTTAACCAAAAAACAATACGAGTCGCACCCCCAACCTGCTGGACCTAACATGCGTTTAGATCGTGCTTCAAATCCCAAATCCTTCATCAGACAAGGACATGCAGAGAGGTTCTAACACAACCCTCAACCTGAACCTAGACACGAACCCATAAAGTGCTACTACCGATGCTTCACGCTCTCGGACGAGATAACCTGAATCCTCAACATTTTCCTCCCTGATTATGACTGAACAATGAACATTATACAACCAAAGCTGTCTCTCCACTTGCTCTAGAATATAAAACTCCTCCTTGATTCACACTTGGAAATATTCTCATTAATCTAAACGATTCTCCCCCGCTTGGATTCAGCTACACTCTGCCATCCTCATAACCATAGGATCTCCAAACCAACTCTCAACCTCACTACTCCACCATTATCATCCTGAGCTTACCAAAACTAAGATTCCATGACCAATTAATCTAGGGTACACACACACCCCAAAGCCAGGTTAAATCCTTCGCTATTTTTGTGGAAAAACATTGTCGCATCCAAAGCACCTTCAATTCCAAATTCTTGAACAACCTCAACTGATGATGCAGAACGAATAAACCCACTATCGGAATAGATGGATAACCCCTTCAACGACTCTCTTATTATTGTGCAACACCCAAACAAACCTGCATCAACCACACTCGTAGGTTGATAGATCACAACTACTTTTACCCTACTAAAGATAGCAATCAGTTCAATAAGCTAAACAGCCCTTCAACTGTCATCCAATCTGAGCGGCACATGCACATCTGAAATTTATCTTAGTTTTCCTAGAAGGGACAGTCGCCTACAACGAGATCCTTGCCTATAAGCCTCCGATGCGAGGACCACACTCACATCCTTGAAAGTATGAATCAGACAACAATTCACCGTGCACTCGCGTTATGACCAATCCCTTATACCCCCAAATCACGAAAGATCTCAACCATCTCGAATTCCAAAAATCCAATGAACTTACACTGTAACTCCCTCCGAACCATTGCGCCGAAACTATCAAAATCGTTTTGGATGCTGAAACTTCAAGCAGAACACTCAAGTACTCCCACCTAGGGTCCATGCTATCACTGATCGTCACCTCCTGACCTGACGCCTACAACTGGCTCGACCAGGTACCTTTCAAACATGATTCTCATAATGCAAAACGGCACATGACAATCCCTCGAAATCTAATAACCACACAATCTTAAAGAAACTCTGATCCTTTGGTGAAGACTTAAAAACATTAAACATGGTGTCTTACACACACAATAATCATAAAACCACGAACATGAATAATAAAAGCATAAAGGAGTTGAATACAATACGTACCTGCGACGACATCTGGCGGAGCTCTGGCCTCCTCGGCTTGCAACTGAAATGCTCGGCTCCCCACCACTGGAGCCTCCACACTACCTTCACAGCCATAAAAAATTGCAGTATAACTGGAGTAGGTGCCCACGCCGCTCCACCCGCCAATCCCGGACAGTCGGCCTTCTTGTGGCCCACCTGGTTGCAGTGAAAACAAACCGAACATTGGATTCTATGAGATATGGACTGGTGCGGAAGACACCCTCCATCTCCTCAATCCAATGTGAACTCAGAACCCTGACATTCCTCCCACAAACCATAGAAGGTTGATATGTAGCTATGTCGACGGGTGACGTGATGAACTCGTATATCCCCTCATCAATCAGCTCAGCACCAGAGCCTGAACCTAAATTAGAACCAGAACCTCTTCCACAAGTGCTCATCACCATACTAAAAAGCAACCATACAATGATTTGAACATACCTATAGAGTCCTCATCCTCCCGGCTTCTTAGAGTCCTCATGACTTTTCTTGATTCGAGTATGGATCTTGTGCTTTCAGTGGTACGGGCCCAATACTACCTTCCACACCTATCCACACTTTCCTTAAAAATCATCTCGAATCCTTTAAGTCACCTTATCATACTGGTACTTCCAATATCCTCTAAACAGTGCACCACTCGCTCTAAAGCACTTCCTAGGCTCTCCTAGGATCCCCACATCACCCTGCCATCAGCTGTTGAAGAACTCCTACTAATGTCGGCTAACTATTTCATGAATACAATTACATGCAACAAAACTTAAGTAATCATTCGACTAAAAGACCCAACCCTACAACAGTTAGACTCAGATAAGAGCTGTACAATAGGGTTACCAAATCAATCACTCTAAGATTATTTAACCTTTGCAGCATGTAACTTAACATATTCATGCAATACTTAACTCACATCAATATGAGTCATACTAAGCACAAAGCAAGCAACATTCATGCAGAAGAACTCAAAAGCCACTGAACAATCAAAGGACATCCTCCACTCACTTGCTGCTATGATGCTAGGAACTTCCACTAACACTGCCGATTGCCTTATGCAAATTATACACAATACATGATCAAAGATCAAGAGTAGTAACATAATGCCCTCAAAATCAACGGACCGTCGTGCTTACAGTTACCAACATAATGAGTAGTAACTTTAATATTATTTTAATAATCAAAGGGCTTCTGGCCCATCATTATTAGGTGGTGCCCTCCCTCTTTGAGGTTGAGGTTTCAAGTCCCTTCGTGGACATATATGAAATTAGGTTTTATTAGCTTAGAAGTAGATTAGATTTGCCGGTTCAAAAAAAATTTATTTTAATAAACTTTGTTGGTGTTTATAAATAGCCTAGCAGTCAAGGCGGTTTAAGGTGTTTTCTCTTCTAAGTGGAGTGTTTGATCCTTCTCACTCCCCTTTTTCGGCACGAGTAAAAAAAAGTCGAACTAAGGTAAAGAAAACTTTTTTTTTAATATAGTTTTGTCAGTTTATGTGAAAATAAAAATAGGCATCAGAAGAAAATGTAAAGGTTGGTTCCACCCGGAAAATGACAATCGAAGGGATGGAAACGCTTTACCAAATTACATGTAATATAGTGGTGGTGAATAAATACAAAAAGGATTTGGGGTGGTGTTATTGTTTGGATCCACAAGCTGATAAAAAAATACTAAAAACAAAACATAAATACATACGGGTTTCTTGATATTTCATGAGAACTTGACGACACAAGCTGTAGAGCTCATTTTCATCATTTCTAATTCCTTCTTGACCCTGACCATTATTTGCTCCTTCGAAGCTCGTACCCAAGTCGACCACCAGATATCCATCATCTCCAAAACACACGCATACTTCAAAACACATTTGATGAAACATATTTCTGAACTATAACCATGAAAGTTCTTCAAGGTCACTGTCCTGAGGCACTTCAACATGCATACAGGTGTCGAAGACCAAATTGAATGCTTCTCATCAAGGGGCATGTATGTCTCAAATCCCTGTACAACATTTTAGAAAACCTCAGATTAATATCATAATCATAAATCATGGGCATGATGTTTTAATTTTGGATATAGAATAATCCACCTCAGGGATATAAATAGATTCTAGAACTGGACAGAAATAAAGCAATCCCATAAGTGCCCTATAAGTATGATACTTGATTGCTTCGGTCAACACTAAATGGCTCAAATTTGGAAAATGAAGCGGCATGTTACCTGTACCAATAAGAGACTTCGCATCGAAAAGAAAACACAAAAACACAAAAGTCAGATTGGCAAGATTATACAAAGAGATGAGTTATGATATATTCCATTTAAGATGTAGATTAGCTTGCCAATTACCTCCATAATCTGATTACATACCCCCAAAGACACGACAGATCGTAGTTGTTTAAGTAGATCAACAACTCGATATGCTCGTATATCATGAGAAGAATAAATGTGAAGGAATGCTTTGACCATGGACGATATATCATTCAAGAGAAGATTGATGGATATCCAAAGTATTGAAAAAATTGAAGATTTACTGCATCAATCTTGATCTTAAAACTAAGATCACACCATAACCATAGCTTATAGGTCGACCTATTAGCTATGGTCAAGCTCTTTAAGGTGGAACTCGAAATCACAATATCCGTCAAGTTCATCCACTTGCAATCTGATAAAACCAATGCTTCAAGTGATGGACAGCCTGAGAAAAGCTTTTCTGTAGAATCAGCATTCGGAAATGCAACCAAAGATAGGTGCAAGATTTTCACGCATGGAAAAGAAACGTGAGATGGGAGTTCAATAACACAATCCATTCTTAATTTCAGGCTAACCAATGATGTGTTATGAAACATAGACTGAGGAATCATAGATGGATCTACTTTCACTAGACAGAGATCAAGCTCCTGAACATTGTGCATGATTGCATGAGAAATCCATGAATGTATTTGAAATGAAGGTATTTGAGATGCATAATAGGAACCACATATGTTAGATGAAACTTTTTCAAATTTGATGCATCCTGTAACGCGAGGACTCTTTCTACAAAGTTCTTGAAGGAAGTCGCATCACACTGACGCCAATTATCAACCTCTATGGAAAACAACTTTGCATCATCAAAGTCAAGGTTGGGAACGGAAGCCCACAGGTTCTTCCATCTAGTAGATAATATGCACGTCTTTACAGCTTCTACTGTGGGCATACACGACAGAATCTGATGAAGGATACAATCAGGTAGATTGCTGATATGATCGACCATATCACCTATATCTTCAATTTCATGTTGCTCTTGGCCTCTGTATTCGCTCATGGTAAGCCTCTTAGATTTCCTAATCATGGCCTACAGGCAAAATGTCAAGCTTAAATTAAGTAAACTGGGCATTCACGAAAAACAATTTAACTAGATCATAATGGTTTTATTACACAAGCAAGATGTTGAATCCATTGCCTTAAACAAGGAACATTTCAGCACCTAATGGACAAATCAGGCACTTTTAGGACAAAAATCAATATACATTTCAATTTACAGCAAATAAACTTATGAAGAATAGTCCTTGAGTTGTGCCCTAGTGATAAACTTCTAAGTTCTAATTATCATGTATGACAATTAGGCTGGAGGGAGTGGTGTCACCGTAACCGCACTCCCTTCACTGCCACATGCGCGCCACATCATTTTTTACCACATAAGTGTGGTTTCTTGCCACACCCAAGGAGTGGTGCCACACTTTTTGTTTTTTTTTTAAATAATTTAATCAAATAAAACTTCATTTAAGAAAAAAAAAACATTACATTGTATTACTTGGGTTTATTTTTTTTTAATGGATAAAATCTTTTTTTTTTAAAAAGATAATATTTCATTAATTAAAAATAAAAATGCCATACATTGCTTAACTTAAAAAAAAACCTAAAAATTTAGAAAAGCAAATTAGAAACATAAAACCTGCAACTAAAAAAAAACATACACACACACACACACCACACGATTAAAAACTTGAAAAAAAACTAGAAGTTAGCCAAAATAACTTGAAGCTCGTCCTTCATCGCCAAAATAACTTGAAGCTCGTCCCCGGTCATATTCGACGTATCCATCGATAGTACTCTCATGTTGCTGTCCCTTTGTTTCCGAAGCTCTCTTTCAGAAGCAATTTGCAAAATCCTGTCCATTCTATCTTTTATACCCTTCATGTCGGCCCCCATTTCTTTCAACTCGTCTGAATCCGACGCTTTGCCTTTGCCTTTGCTTTTTTGCTTTGTCTCTTCCCATTGGTCGGGAAAGTGGTGAAATTGGAACAGGTTCATCTTCGTTCAGATCAAATTGAACACGTGCATCTGATGTAGTGTGGTCGGACTCAGATGTTCTGCTGCGTTTTGAACCACTGTCGATATGCTCGTCTGATGTTTTGATGTTTTGCCATTTCTTGTTATCTTTTACAAAATTCCAAACTTCAAGAAACTTGAAAGCCTTCAGGTTTTCTTTTTGATACACTTTCAGCGCTTTCCTCAAAATCACATCATCGCTTTCTCCACTTTTCCATTGACGTTTCATGTTGGTATACAAATCATTAAACAACATGATTTCCTTGTTCATCTTCCCCCATTTCGAGTACACTTGATGTTTTGAACGGTATTCTCCACGGTTCATTCCTGTATGAACCTATGTAAAACGCGAATCCAAAAGCGGTCATGCTTTTGGTCTTTTCCAGTCGACGCATCTTCTGAAATATCGATCCAAGATTGTGCCAACACTAACACTTCTAGGGGTTCCCAACTTTTAGCCTTCGCCTTCTCTTTTCTTTTAGTTGCTGCTCGAGTGGGCTGAGTTTCTTTAACGAATTCCGGTTCGGAATCAGAAACGACCGTTTGTGGTTGTGCTTGTGTTTGTTGAACAAACTCGGGTTGAGACAAAAAATCAAATGGATTAAAATTTGTGTCGGGTTGTGGTAGTGATTGTGGTAGTGGTTGTGTTTGTGGTTGTGGAAAATACGAAAGCATACCGCCATAGTGGTAATACGGAGGCGAGAAAATCGGTTGATCAAATGAAGGTATTGGGGTTGTGGTGTTTCTAGCGAGTGTTTTTTCTTTGGAGGGCCTTTTGGAAGAAGACATTTTGAAAAAACTTTGAAGAAAAGATAGTTAAAGAGATAAGTAAATAGAGTGAAGTTTTTGTAAAAATGGTAAGTATATATAGGGTAAATTAAAAAAAATTAATTCTGCTAATGGACCGTTCAACGGTCAAAAGATGCCCCATCCAATCAAATTGCACGGCGAGAAATGGCCACATTGCGGCCTAAACCGCAGGAGACCGCGGTCAGAGAGCGATGTGCGCGACTGAGGTGGCAAAACCGCGGCCACTCCCTCAAGCCTTATAATTCCTAGATACAAATGAGTTATAGATGTTGATCCTCCTTAACACAGATTGTACATCAGTGTAGAAGGTGTATGTAAAGGCTCCTTTGATTCATTCACTTCTACTGAAGTTCCCAGAGACTCTAAATCGAAATGTCAGGATCAGTAAACGATATTCAGCTTCCATATAAACAAACTAGGAACAGTTTGATTTCTTAAAGAATGCCTAGTCCCCATATAAGATTTTCCTATACATTTGCACATACTTGAATATAAACACATACAAACAAGAAGTAGAGATCTGAGATTGTTGATGAGTTGTGCTTGGTTTAAGGGACATGTTTGTTTATGGAAGCAACATGTTTACTTGAAGTCGTCTGAACTAAACGATATTGATATGGTTTTAATGGACGAGAATATATCAACCTGTCATATAGCTAAGTTTTTCTTTTTCATTTTTGTTTGCATTGATATATGTTTTTTTATCCTTCCTTAGTTCATAATAAACACCATCCCATTTTAGTCATATTTGATTAGCACTGTGTGAAAATTAGCTTCCTTATTCTTTTTGTTGCATAAACAAATTTATCTTAACCATTTACGTCTTTAGATTAGTGTATGTTAATTGCCCATGCATTGAAATTGTAAAAATTTTGTTGAGAAGCAAACCAAATTGTAGTTGAATAGTGGATATGGACATACTGGTGTCCTATATACGCTTAATTAGTTCAACATTTTATGACTCCCTCTCTTTATTTCCACTACTTCATTCAAATACCATCAATCGAAAAGAAATGCAATGAAGTTATAAGCTTGAACAACATCAAATCTAGACATAATATCAAAGTGATATCAACTGCAGATTCACTATACCAAAAATTTGATGATATTTATATACTATTACAAAACATAACATTTGAACAAAACATCTTTACATAATAACCAACCAAACGCAATCATTTTGACAAGCATAAGTAAGTTTAGCTTTTCAAAATATTTGGCATATTGCATATATAATTGTTTAATATTAGTCAATTTGGATGACTTCATTTCTGCCAATTCCTACTTCACTTGCCAATCTTCTCTTCTTGCTTTGTGACTCGCCAACAAATGACCCTTTGAGGAAATCAATCTTCCTCTTCGTGGTATTGCATATGCTCTTCAAACTCATCAAAACATCATTAAATCCATCTTCAAGATCCAAATCAAAGTTTCTACCATCTTTCCTATCCAAATTCTTCCACCAATCATAGTACCTCAATGAAAACCCCACCAAGAAACGATCTTGATGGAACGAAAAGCCTCACAAACTTGCTCAAATTGTAACTAGACAGATCTGCAGGAATATCTTGATCAAAACCAAATTGCATAGCCACACGATGAGGTAGATAATTCGCCTTACAGTTGAGCCCATTAAGCTCACAAGGTTGTAAAAACCGAACAAAAGACTGCAATTCATCATCTAAGTTCATAAAATCAGATACAATCTCTCTAGAATCATGGTAATACGAGGGTTGGACCCAGTTTTTCACATCAACAACATATGGTCTCCAAATAAAATTTTCAGGGTTGATCAGATGCGAATGCAAAAGGGTTAAACAGACATTTGAATTCAAAGTATGCCAACGAGCTAATCTGGGTTCACCTGCACAAAGCTCATTAGGGGGTTTTGGTCCTATGATTGGAAACCTTTCATACGCCCAGATCTGAACCAACTGAAAAGGACCTAACAGATTGATACAATAGTTTGAAGAATCTAACGATTGTTCTTTAAAAATTCTCAAATTATGGTAAATACTAGCTAGAATTGCAGGAGCAAGAGCTAATTTGACCCCCTGTGACAATTTCACTGCGATTGGGAAAACGTGTTTGCCTATTGAATCACGATCTAAAGAAGGGAAGACAAACCTCGACAACCACAATGACAGAAAAGCAATGTGTTCGTGTTCGTGTTCGTTTTGTTTGGACATGAACATTTGAATCCACTTTGAATGCGAAGCTTTTTTTGATTTACTATTCACCAAATCCGACCTGAACCGATTCATTTCCTCAACTTTTTTCCCTGAATCCGCCATTAAAGCAACATCATCAACAGAATCCCCTATAACTGAATACCCACCAAGGATCGTTACATCCTCTAAAGTAACTGTAGCCTCACCCCATGGGAAAACGAAGGTGTTTGTTTTTGGGCTCCAAAACTGTAACAAAGCTGGAATTAGGTCATGGTTACAGGTGACTTCGTAGATAGAGCTCATGATGGAGTCGGAGATACCCGAATTTACCCAAAGGGAGCTGTATTTTCCGGCCATTTGATCGACCCATTCCGCCCATTTGTTCAGTGGATGATTCCAACCTTTGAAGAGTGGGTTTGAGTGCTCGGTGGGTCTGAACATGGGATCAACAGCTTCTGTGAGGGATTTAGCTACTGGGTTTAGGAATCTTGCGATCCTAGGAGCAAAACAAGCATTTGTTAGTGAAACCCATATGTTCGACCCTTTCGTCACAGATAGATGATGTATGTTTAGATAATCTGATTGTTCGCTCTGATGGTTGGCTCGCCATTACCGTGTGAGAGAAATGTTATGGAGTTTCGAATTTCAAACCAGGGGAAAGCTCAAAGCTTGTATCGAATTTATATTTATATCATTAATATGAGATTATTGGTTTCTTACGATGCTTTTAAACAGCTCCGGCGTTTTTCATCGTTTCAAGGCTTGTAACTGTCGTCAAACTTTATCAAAACAATACCTTAACTCATTAACTCATATATATATATATATAAAAAT